TGTTTGCCTCTGTGGCATTTTCAAGCTGCTGTCCAACAGTGCTCTTAAGACTGTTGAACATCTGAGGGCCATCTGCCCCAGAAAACCCAACACTGGAACCATCAAGAATCTGCTGTGATAGAATTGGAAGGCCCCTGGAAGGTAAAACCACGCATGTTCACATCAGCTTGAACGCTGCTTTCCACAGATTCCATCCTAAGGCTTCCAGGACTTCTTCTAGGACAGTTTTTCTCACCTTTGGCAACTTTAGGAGGGGTGGACTTCAATCCCCATGGCGGGCTGGGGAATTCTGGGAGTTGAAGTCCACCCATCTTAAAGTTGCCAAGCTTGAGAAACACTGATCTAGTCCAATGAAACAGGAACCCTCTCAGTTTATGAGGCCACAGGATCTGGCCAAGACCTTGCAGCCAGCTGGTCCACTACATGCCCTCTTGACCTCTGGCAGATTTGAGACAGGGGCTGACTAGATGGATCCAGGGAGAAAGTGGTGCTGGTGGCCTTGAAAGAAATCCTGGTCCCTCAACCCCCAAAAGACCTCCCTAGAACCAGACCAGGGGCATCCATAGGGGAGGACTCAAAAAGTCAAAATGCTGGCCATGACCTAGTGCTGGAAGCCATGCTCTTTTTTATGTGTGTCACATGTACAACCAGGGCTTCGCTGTATGGCTGCAGCTACCATTTTCACTTTTCTTGACCCCCTCCCCAGATACTCCCAACCCACACCACTGGGTCAACCATCACCTTGTTACAAATACCCATTTTTTAGCAAAGGGCTTAAAAGGGTGGCGACTATGCAGTTGTAAGCATTTAATTGTGGATTACTGAATAAACCTCACTGATTGGGCTCACAGAAGACAGACGCCATGGTTCAGACACATAGTGGTTGAGTTCACACAACACAGTCTGCCCAGACCTAGCAAAGCATATTCCCACTTGTAATGACTGCAGTTCTCTTGGTGGGGTTACAAAAATAGTAAAAACCAAAAGCAGAAAAGCAGCAAAACAAAAGCGTTTCATTGCAATGAAAACACCAGGAAATATATTAAAGAACCTTCTTCAACAAAACACCTTTCACATGTATGGACTTCAACTCCCAGCATTCTCAGCAAAAGCCATGTGGGCCAGGGAATTCTGGGAGTTGAAGTCCCCACATCTTAAACTTGCCAACGTTGACAAACATTGCACCAAACAACACTGGTGTTTTTTACAACCATGTTGCTTGTAAAAGGTTTGGCATGTTCTAGTTTGAAAAAAAGCCATGTGGGCCAGGGAATTCTGGGAGTTGAAGTCCATTATGTCCTAATTGCACCTAAGTTGGTGAAGCTATTTTAAAGATCTTTAACAGGAAGTCCTTAAAAATCTTGTAATACTTTAGTGGCTGAGTTAATACTCAGGAAGAAGCTCATTTCAAACTAGAACATGCCAAACCTTTTACAAGCAACATGGTTGTAAAAAACACCAGTGTGGTTTGGTGCAATGTTTGTCAACGTTGGCAAGTTTAAGATGTGGAGACTTCAACTCCCAGCATTCTCAGCAAAAGCCATGTGGGCCAGGGAATTCTGGGAGTTGAAGTCCCCACATCTTAAACTTGCCAACGTTGACAAACACTGGTCTAGAGGTTACAATGTTGGTTTAGGAGTGGGGCAACCCAGATTTAAGCTTACCCTAAACCATGGAAGCTTCCTGGGTGGCCTCTCTCCTACCTCACAGGGTTGTTGTGGGGGAAAGTAGAGGATTGAGCGCTGCTTGCCCCTCCTGGAGGATCCCCAGAATGAGCTCGAATCTCACAACTCAGTAAAAAGTAATAAACTGATTCCTCGGATGATTTCAAATCCCACAGGCTACGTAACACCCAGTTCTTTTTCTTTCCCTCGGATGCATGATGCTGGTCAATCCATTCTTTCTTTGTCTGAATGCAAGCTTACATGTCCTCTGCTATAATGTGAGATCTTATCCTTACAGCAGCCTCCTACAACATTACTCCAAACCGTCTCTGGGTTCACCCATCTCTCTTGAAAGGCATCTCACGGTATTCCATGCCTCAATGCCAGATTTCTGATTCGCCAGATGTGAAAATGATGGCTTTACCGTGCGGGCAATGGAGAAGCTGAAGATGGTTTGTTCCTCCAGCTCACTGGCCATCCCCAAGCCCTGAATTTCCCCTGGTTCCCCCCCTTCTAGGATCCAAATGAGGTCCTCCCCCAACTGTTCTTCCTGCAACTCCTCCTCTCTTCGATTTGCATGATTGCTTGAATTTGATCTGTCTCCTTCCCTCCCTCCCTTTCTCTCTCTTTTGGTCTAGGTAAAAAATGAAATTAGCAACCCTCCTCCTCTTACCTCCCCCTTTTCCGGAAAAAAAAAGTCCATTAGTCACCATGGAAACCTGAATGGCTCCAGGAGGGGCCCCTTTTGCAGCCTTCACAAAAGCATCTGAGAAATCAATTTGTAGTACAAAGGATGAGAGTTAGGCAAAAGGAAGGAACGCCTGGATCCTTCCAGCCAGCTGGAGTCTATTTGCCTTGAAATGCTGGGCTATTGTTGGGCTACTGGATCCAGGCTGCTAAATTTGGAACCACCACTAGATGGTAGTGCAGAGAGCCTGGGTTCTCTCTGGTGCTATCTGGTGATCACCCAGAGGTTTGCAGTCTAGGTGTCGGATGCTTAGCACACGTGAAGGGTATGTCCTGATGGATACAGGTAAACTAAGGTCTGGAGAAGGTTCACTGCTTGAGTTCAATGTGCATCTCAGAAGTCTTGTCTTGGTAGCTCAAATGACTTCATGGTAAATTTACACAGGTTCTGGGTCATCACATACAGTTCCAAACTGAGGCACGCAACATGAGAACCAATGGACTTGACTCAAAGAGGAGTTGAGAAGATCTCCTCAACCACCTTGTCCAGAGTGCATGAACCCAGACCACATGGGACAGCCACACTTCTGGCACTTTCCAGGCCTTCAACATCTAGTACGTTCTTTGCCATTGGATATGGGTCCTGCCTAGTCACTGCTTTTTCCACACGGTGCCATGGTCCATGATATCCATGACATAAGACCTGCAGCATAGATGGAGACCTTCAAGCTCTGATGAGGCTTAACATTATGGGTCCAATCCTCAACAAGAATTCTGGATACTCAAAACACAGCCGGATGCTCTGGTTGATTTCTGGAGCACATTTGACAGTGTGTGGCACCCATGTCCAACCTATGCTGGGCTATTACACTACACTGCCAAGGTGCAAAGGGGCAACTCATAACAGTGAGGTGTGCAGTGGAGCTCTGGAGGAAGAACATTATCTGGACCCACAGCAGTCAGGTTTCAAGCTGGGATATAGTACCAAGATGGCACTGACTGAACTTGTGATGAGCTCTGGGGGACCTAGGAAGGGGCTGGTGTATTCATCTGGTCCTCCTTGATCTCTCAGTGGCTTTTCGTACCATCGGTCATGGTATCCTCCAGGACCAGCTGAGGGGGTTGGGAGGGGGAGGCACAGTGCTGTGTTGATTCTCCTCTTTCCTCCAAGGCTTGTTCCAGTAAGTGTTGGTGGGAGGGAAGGAGAGGCCCCTGCTCTGTGGAATGCCACAGGGCTCGACTCTCTCCCCTGTCCTATTCAACATCAGTGTGAAACTGCTGGGTAACATGATCAATTGGCCTGGGGTGCAGGATCATCAGTACGTGGTCATACTCAGTTTTGCATCTCCACCTGGGCCAGCTTTGGTTCCACCCTGACAAGACCGAGTGGCTGTGGGTTTTAGGGCCCTCATATCTAGCCATCTGCCATCTTTAACTCTGGCAGAAGCCATACTTCCCCAGTCAAAGTTCGGACACAATCTGGGAGCCCTCCTGGACTCATGGCTCCTGCTTGAAGAGCAGGTGGTAGCCATGGCCAAGAGAACCTTTGCGCAAATGCTTCTAGCGTACCACTAGCACCTTTCCTGGACTGGGAGGCCCTGCTCATGGTCACTCATGACTTTAGTCACCTCCCGATGGGCCTCTTGAAATGTGTTTCACATGCTCTGCCCTTGGAGAGCATTTGGAAACTTCAGCTGGTCCAGAAGCAGCCGCACAAGCAATAGTGGGCATATTTCAGCATACCCAAATAACACCATTGCTGCATGAGCTATGCTGGGTCTCCAATTGCTCCGGGTGCGATTCAAGGTCCTGGTCATGACCTGTAAACCCTGCATGGCAGGGCCAAGTTACTTGTGGAACTGCCTACCCTCGATGATTTCTGCCCATCCTACTAGATTTGGCAGGGTGGGCATGCTCTGGGTCCCCTCAGTGAAACAGAGTCACCTGGCAGGACCTCAGAAGTGCACCTTCTCCCTCATGGAGAACAGAGATTCAGATACAGATACGGTTGGCCTTCAGGGAAGCAGCAAAGACCTGGCTTTTCCTCCAGGCGCTGGGGCTGGGAGGTTGATGGAGCTGGCATGGAGTGGTTGGGGATGAATGCAAGGTTTATCAGGGCCTCAACACTGTTTTTCATTTAAATAGGTTTTTTTAAAAAATAATTGTATCGTGCTTTTATTCTTGCTCGTCGACCAGAGGTCCTTCTGGTAGACGGGTGGCTATCTACATTTGCTGAATTAAATATTAAATATTCCTTTGGCAGCCCCTTGGTGGATTCTCAGTCGCTCAAGATTGTACTGCAGGAATTGGAGGGGGTCACTTGGGCCTTTTTTCCTAAAGGGTGACAGTGGAAGCAGGTGGCCACTGCGAAGGAAACTGGTCTCCTCCCCCCCGCTTAAAAATCTTCCAACCCTCCCCAAACAGCCTGAAATAATACTGCTGAAATGCAACAGAAAAGGGGTTTCTTAAGGGTGGGGATCAAAGGGTTTCCAAGGCATTTTCTGCTCCTGTTCCCAACCCGAGTCCCACCAAGATAAATAAATAAAAATTAAAAAATGAGCCCCAACCCTGCTGATGACATCGCCAAGGCTCATTGCTGTTCCCAACTCTCAAAAATGCTCCCCCTCCCATTCCAAGCTATGATCTTCTGCAAGCAAGAAGAACAATGGCATTTGGCGGGATGGCTGTTATGGATAAGCCCCCTTTGATTTTCCATCTCTAGTTTCAAAGGAACTCTTTTCATGGAAGGTGAACTAGGCTGCATGGAAAACCAAGAATAAACTCGCCCCGTTTCATTATCCTCAGTCAACTAATTTCTCCATCTACTTTGATATGAGTTTTCCAAGCCCACCAAGAGAAGATCTGCGTCAGTAACATATTGGAGATCCTTCAAAGGGAAGACGTAACACCTGGAGAATCAGACACGTAAAGCCAGAATGCTATAGTCCTTCCCTTGGCCAGTTCTGAAATCTATGTCCTTCAACCATCTATACTTTAGATCACTGTTTCTCAACCTTGGCAGCTTGAAGATGTGTGGACTTCAACTCCCAGAATTC